ATTTGCTGACGCAGATTTCGCTAATAGAGTTGATGATCGAAAGTCTATAGCAGGGTATCTCACTCAATTTTGCGGCAGTACAATTTCGTGGTCTAGTCAAACTGAAAGAACGGTTGCACTTCACACTACTGAGGCTGAGTATATGGCACTAAGTTTACTCGTTCAAGAAGTGATTCACCTGCGGCAGATGTTGAAAGAACTCAAGATGAAACAAAACAATCCAAGTGATGTATTTGTGGATAATGAAAGCGCACGGAAACTAGCAAATAACCCCGAGTTTCACAGCAGGACCAAACATATCGATGTTCGTCACCACTTCGTGCGTGAAAGGGTTGAATTGAAGCAGATCACAGTGAAAAGAATCCCTGGAAGTGATAACGTGGCAGATGCATTTACGAAGCCACTTGCTCGCACGAAGTTTGAACAACACCGAGCATTCATGGGCCTTTTATCAAAAGGTGAATATGAATCATCAAAGCAATGACCAGCAGGTGGGGCTGTTGTGAAGTACTGGTCAGTGAGCTGCTACCTTTTGTCCCGAGAGGTTTTATGCCGAAGAGCTTTTCTCCTCTAGAGGGTTTTTTGGTTGCAGCTCACTGACCAGTACTTCACAACAATTATCAGTTTGCCTATTATCGCAAACAGACTACGAGATTTAGTGTATTATAAGCACGTATGATGCTATGAATCCCTTAGGTGGGATAGGTGATCCCACTAGACTTCAGCACGCCCAGCTCCATCGATTCCCGTTCTTGCAAATTTACCGCGATGAAATGATAGACCAAAATGACCTACCCAGTTTGCATTTTCAAATGGAGAGCCATGAATATTGAACATAATAGCACCCGAAGAAGAGCCGCGGACGCGGTACATTTGACGATACTCGATCTAATTCATTATGATTTTTTCAGCTTGCTGTGATTTGTAGATGATTGCGAATATTTCACTCTGCATAAACTGCATTTCAAGCCAGGTTGCAACTTACTTCCTCCGGTTTTTTTCTTTTGCACATTTCCAATCCGGTCCGAGATTTTTTCTTTTGCACGAGTCAGAAATGATCAAAGTGAAGGTATCAATTTAGACGGGTATTAGCACTGGCCTACTTCTTGCTTCTGGCCTCAAGGGCTGCCTTCTTCTCTTGATCCTTCTTCGCCTCCAGAGCTGCACGGACGAACTTCACGCCTTGATCATAGACTTCTGCAGAGCAAGCGAACGACACTGGTAGCTGGCCGGCTTTTTTTAGGGCGTCCTTGCCTCGGTGTGGAGTCTTGTAGTTGTTGCCGCCATTTGCCCTGATGATGCATTCCATACACGTCTGGAGGGTCATGAAGATCTTGTTCAGAGTGTCGGCTTTCATGGCGCTGAAGGCGCTGTTTACGGCGTCGAGTAGCGCTTCCACTCCGCGACACTCCGTCTGATACTGCAGCGACTGGATTGAGCGGAAGTAACCTAGATCTAGCACATTAAGATCGGGCGAGTTCGGGGGTTGGCAGCGCATTCGAATATCCCAGCCCCCACTGCGACCTGCAGCCATGATGTCCGGATCATCCACTGACACGTGAGGTTTGGCGTTGTCCTGTTGTATGTAAATCGTGCGCTTCTTGCCGCTCCGTGGCCACTTGGCCTTGATCGCTGGGATGATGTCGCCAATGAGTGTCGCTTTGTATGCTTCTCGGTCTACACTCTCGACATTGCGTAACACGATA